GCACAGCGCACAAATTGAGCTTGATTTCCTCCTTTGATGTAGCACAACAAATAGTAACGAGCAACTTTCTTTGCCTGGAGGAGGGGACAGCAGGCTGTCGGTCAGCTTCACAGCACTCGACTCCAGGCTGAGTCTGCTGATGTGGAAAGAAAGGAAATGCAAGCCTGTGCCTGGGGCTATTTCTGGGATGACATATTCAAAAGTTTTTATTCAACTCCTGTAACATTTTCTTTACTATAATAATTATTATTATAATAGATAGTAATAATTTTCACCACCTTAATCATTTTCTCTAAGGAACTTGAAGTGTTTTGTAAACACTAATGACAATGCTTTCTTAACATAGGGCACGATAACAGTCTCAAATTTACTGATGGGGAGACTGAGGTATAGAGATCTAGTCAAGGTCTGGGGAATACAACCCACAGGCCCTAACTCCCAGGCTCCATGTATTACATAATCTTTCATCTTATTCCCCAAAAGCCATTCTTGGTCTTAGCACTTAAAGAGAGCTGACACATGGTAGATGCATTCTCTGCCTTGGAAATTCTTTTCTTAATAGCACATTAAAAAGTCCTCCCCTCCCTCTTTAGTTACTTAAGAAGTGGCTTAAGAGTGGCCCAAAATAGAATCTTTGAATATTTCCAGAAAATTCTGAAAAAATTCTTAATTTTGTGGCTAGGAAGTTAGTTGTGTAACACTTACTGAGAAGCGAAGCTCTGAAAATGCAGATTGAAAGTAAGGCAATTTAAAAGTGAATTTGGCAGAAACTGCGCCATGCTGAAATTTTCAAACCCACCAGATTTTAACCTGCCCTGTGCCCTTTGCACTTACTCAGTCGTGTGAGATGCAACTCTGTGTGTCTGTGGAGCTGGTTGGGGGGACTTGGGAGACATTCCCAAGTTCCAGTATGCAAGTGGGCCTAACGTGGTGCAATTGGACTTATCACTTGACATATCTCCACACCACAAAGGTGTTTTAAGCAGAGGCTTCCTAAAGGACTCAGAAATGTTGAAGGCAACCTGGCAGCCTACCTCATGAATGCATGCCTTCTCACTGTTTTTGAATGCACAGCCATGCTAACAAAAATATACTGAGCTTGACATGCAAGTGTACACTCACCCACAGGCATGCAGATGAACATGCCTGCATACAGAAAACTCTCAGATATAAACACCCACCCATAAACGGATCAAACTTGCACAGTAAGATAGCCACATTGGCTCAGAAAACATGTTCATAGACTCAGTCACATACACAACAACCCATGTGTCTCCATCAACAACCATTCACAACACAAATATATGTGAAATACGTATACTTGCATACACACTCTCTTTCCCCCACGCACGGATTCGTGTCTGTACACTCTCCCATGAATTTATAGCCCATACACAAGCATCCAAACACATTCAGGAACATATACTACAACCAATGGAGTGCACACACAAAGACCTACCCATGCACACTCACATATATCTTAACGAAGGTTTTGGTCTGGGAAATTCCTTTTCAAGAAACAAAAATAATTGTCAAAAGGAAAAAACAGAGCACGGGGAACTGCACAAATAGATGCAAGCACATACCTACACGCACACTGTGGAGCCTGTCAGTCAGGGTTCCCACCACAACTACAGCTATTGCAGCTCAGCACCTGCTGGGTATGCTTCCCCTGAATGCAAACATCTGGTGAACCTCACAGAGATTTCAGGCTTACGTGTCTATGGCTACATGTCAAACTAACCTGTGCCAGAGGTCTCCATCTTCCCTAACTGACCACAATGAAAACTGTCCTTTAGCTCCAAGAGCAGCAACTTCCAAGACCCTACCACAAATGTTCTTCAGCTTCTAAGGAGCTGGGCAGAAACATCTTACCTGCACCTGACCAGGCTAAACATCTCCAATTAGTGGAGTTCATTGGCATTTTAGGGTTTATTTTTTCTTTCTTTTTCAGACTCCAGGTCTCTTGGAACAAGACAAGACAGTGTACAGAAACACAAGGCAGGGTTTGCTTGAACCCACAGTGAGAAAGCAACAAGCTCCAGAGGAGACAGAGAGAAGTGTATCTGATAAACTGCCTCACACTGCTTGGGAAGATGACAACTGTCCGTCCAAGATGGGCTGCTACTTCCAAAGCCCATTTGCTACAGATGTAACGTATCAAGTGCTGCTAGCAGGAAGGGAATCCAACAGGACAAACCAACATACAAAACATTCTCTTATTCAATAAGGGTTGTAAGTGCAAAGGGATTTCAGAACATTTCAGAACAAACTCCATCCATAGCTGCTGCTCATTTATCAGTGCATCAAAAGATTGTGCAAGTTTTTAGTAACAAACATTAGAAACTAGTAGCAAAGGACTTGCCTAGATAAAAAGAGAAGATTTAAACATGCTGGGTAAAAAGACGTGTGCAGAAATCTATAAAACTGTATAGAAGGAAAGGATTCTTTAGAGGAAACAGAGGGACCATCATGCAATGTTTTTCATAACCCTTACCAAAAAAGTCAGGGCCACTCCTGCTGCCTCCTCAACTAAGACAGGTGATGGTTGTTTGGACAGAGGCACACCCTCATTTTTCATGTGCTTCTATAACTAAAAAATGGATTATGGGCCTTGGCTGACATGAACTTGAATTTAGACAGGGAATGGAAAAGAGAGGGAGCCTTGTCAGTGGTAATTAAGCACACCAGTATGGACAGCCCTGGAGACTGCAGATCAGAACATAGCACAATTAGCAGCAGTGTGACCTTCTTGACAACATGCTGAGAATGAATGTGATTTATCCTGCTTAAATTTAGTGTCTGAGAGCTGGGTGTCTAGACAAACCTAACAAATCTAGACACTCGCCAGTCACTGGATGGGCACCACCGAAGAGCAGTTCATTTCCCCTGTCATAGACACCTACAGCAAGGCACCAGCTGGCCTGGGGAGGTGTGCGTTTCTCTCCACTAACTGTAAGAGGAGGCCTGGGTGACTATCTGTCTTCCTCTCAGATAACTAAAGTTTAATGAGACGTATATCTAAAGTTTAATGAGATGTATATCAAAGTGTCTTAACCCACAACGTAAAAAGTTCTTTAATTTGTAGGAAATTTCTGTGAATTTCTTCAAAAGGATCCATTAGATTTTCCTTCCCGTACAGGGTTTCTGACTATGATAGACCTCCATTTATTTATCACAACAGAAGGATTTCCCTCCTTTCTGCTTGGAAGACTTTTGTACAGCTTCAAATACATCAGTCAGGAAAGTCTTGTTGATTTTTAGTGTAATTCATCCCCAGTTAATTGTACTTATGCCCTCAATTACCACGTACAGTTCTGCATCTATGGACGAGAATTGAACCTTTCCACAATCTGAAGGCTATTGCCAGCTTCTTGTGACAAGTGTGGCATAAAAAGGGCTTTCCTTTCAGTCTTTAAAATTAACAACTTCATCCTGCTGATCATTGTAACTTGCCTGTACAAAGTCAGCCCAATCCTAACATCTCTGTAGCAAAAGGGTAACCAAAATTGTTTACCACATTCTTGGGGAAACGTTTTAAACAATTTTTGTGTCCAGAAAGTAGGACATTTAAGAGATATAAAATAAAAGTTATTTTTCATTTAGAGATTATTTTCCATTCTCTCTAAAGACAAGGAAAATAGTCTAGTGTAAATTAAAATATTTAGTCTAGAACAAAATATTAAAACATGGATAAATGTTACTGTTTCAGAATTTATAAAAAAATGAAGTTGAACAGAAATGAAACTCAAATCAAGATACAAAAGCATTTTGTTTGGAAAGTTCCAAGTAAAGCATTTTTATTTTTTCAAAATGTTGCCTACATTTTTCCCTAAATGCAGCACTGAGTGAAAACTATTCTGTCACCTTTCTGCTTGCAATGAATTGCCTCTACAGTACACAACAATTCCAGAAAGTTTGTTCAACAGCCACATCATTTTGCAAATTCATGATTGATTTGTTCATCATTAACATATTTACAGCAATTTGCTTTCAATCTTTCTATTTTCCTGGCCTTGCTAAGTTGAATTTTGCAGTGCAATTTTTGTGTGTGCTCATAAACCCAGTGTGTCCTTTGTGGTCTTTCTTTTGGGAATCTGTGTGTTTCCTGCTTGTCCTTTGTCTATTTATCCTGTAATTCTTTATCCATCCACCTCCAAAAAAAGACAGAGGAAAATGTTTGCCTGATGTGATTTATTCCTTGAACACCAGCTGCTCATTTCAGTCTCCATGGCTCATTCAATCCTTCACCTGTCTGCTGAGATGGGCACCAGTGGGGCCAATCAGTGTCAATTGTACTGGTGGAATTTGTGAGATGGAGCAAACTGGGTTGCAAACCCAAAAAAATGGGTTGAATCTCTGGCACTTCATTTTTCTTTGGGCTTTCTATTTTGTTTTTATTTTATTTACTTTTTTTTCCAAATTAGAAACTGAACATTAGGAGCAGGTTCCTCTAAACAGAGATGAATTGGTCTTTATTTCTTTTGGAGGAAGCCTGGGTGAGGAGGCACAAGGAGCATTCCTGGTTTGGTTCCCGCAGTTCCACCTCGAAAGAAATGACCTTTAGATCTCTGTGGGGTGGAGAGTATTGAGCTGCCATGGGAAGCAAAGCATAACACTGTGTAGACCAAAGTGCTGGCCTGGGACTATTCTAGCAGCTTCCCATGGCACAAACATCTTTTTCATTTACACTCCACGTTTCCCATCACTTTTCCTGCTATACAGTTTAATTCATGCCAGGCGGATTATGAAGGGAAGAAAATGATGCAACAGTCAAAAAGTCTTTTAAGTCGTTCCAAAAATTAAAACAGAATAAAAAGAAAACAAACAAACAAAAAAAAACAAACAAAAAAAGAGAGCTTAAAAACTAAAAAAAAAAATCTCTGAAAACAAACTTGAAAGAAAGGAGGAAGGGGGAGGGGTAAAAAAAAAAAAAGAACCCGGGAAAGACAAATGAATGTTAGAGCAGGCACGATCATGGACAGACGCCAGCTACTTACGTTCACCTCGGTGATTGCTATATCAACAATGCTACCCACAACAATCAAGGCGTCAAATGTATTCCATGCATCACAGAAATAGTGCTGCATGTGGCAGAGAAGCCAAGGAGAGAGAGAGAGAGAGAGAAAGGAAGGAAGAGAAAGAAAGAATGAGAGAGAGAGAGGAGGGAGAGAGAGAGGGAAAGGGAGAAAAGAGGGAAAAAAAGTAAAAAGTAAAATAAAATAAAATAAAAAATAAAATAAAATAAAAGCATGAAAGAGGGAGAGAAGAGGAAAAAAATAAGAAAAGAAAGAGGTTACGTGGGCATATTAAATAGTCTCTTACCACTCTACAGTATTGGTTGCTCAAACCTCTGTAACGTTTCACATGATGGAGGGTATCAACAAAAGCCTGGTTAGTCAGAAAGTTACACTCAAGCATGTCTACCTTTTGGAGGGAAAAAAAGCACACACACCCCAAACTCTGTGCGCTTTCACCAGTCACAGCCTTGGGGCAAGCTATGACAAGTGAAAAAGAAGGAGGCATTTCCCCCCTCCTTTTTTTTTCCCTGGGAGAAGGAGAAGGACGACGGCAAGTTCAATAAAAGCATGACTAGAGGGAAAAAAACCAGAAAAAAAAAAAGAGAGAGAAAGAAAGAGAGAAAGAGAGAAGGAACAGCAGAGGAGGAGGAGGAGGTGGTGGTATCCTGGGGAGGGTAGAGTAATACTCACATTAGTTTCACTGAGAATGACGTCTATAATGCTGCCAATTACGATGAGGAAGTCAAAAACATTCCAAGGATCACTAAAGTAACCCTACATAAGGAAGGGGCAGGCAGGATGGGGATTAAAAAGGAATGTTAGACAGACAAAAACAGTTCAAAATTACCATCAGAATTACTGCCCTGATACCTCAAGGGATTTTCCTCTTAAGTCTACTTGTTGCGTCTCAAGCTGTAGCCCAGTCCTGGGATCCCTGACTTCTGTAAGCAGCCCCTATCCAGCTAATGCGATCCCAGGGCAGCCACCCCTCCCCTCCGGCTCTAGGATGGGGGTTGAAGGGAAGCCACATAGATTGCTTTGATGATGGCTGCTCACAGGAGTAGGGCTTACAGGACCAGCTCCTTCAGACACCTCCAATTCCTAGCAAAACATCATCCTTCCCCATTTGACTTAAATTTGTCTGGGGAAAGACTACAGGAATCAAGTCCTATGGTTCTCTCAAAAACCAGCTCCCCTTGTGACCGTGTGAGTATCAATCCACCAGTCCATGTTCCAGATGTAATGCTCTGTACTGGTGCTGGGAATAGCTGGCTGCCACATCACGATGGAGCAGAGGGCACAGTCGAGCTAGGGATGTGCTATTTAAACCTCGCTGGTTGTCACCTTTACCTTTACCCAGACATAATGAGTATTAAGACAGTCATGAGCCTAACAGTTTCTATTACTAATGCTTTAGCTCCTGTCTTAAAACTACAGAGCAGGACTGGTATTTCTGTTACTCTGAAAGCATGTCTGCACCACAAAATGAAGGTGTGGATGTAGCATGTGCTGGTGTATCCCACCAGGAAGGGGTAAGATCGAGAGCAAAGTCAGCTTTAGCTAAAAATAGTGCCACAGCACAAGTGCCACATTAGCTCTCTAGGACAAGCTCTGGCACATCTGCTAGCACGTGCTAAACTCAGACCTTCACTTTGCTGTGCAGAATCACTTCAGCGGCTATCCCAAACATCTCATCATCCTAAGCAGGGCTCAGAAGATGCTAATCAGCACTGCTTACTGTCCCCATCCTGCATGATTTTTGGCTGGATAGGCCATAAGGATACAGGACCTGTTTAGAAAAAGTTCTGTTCAGCCCAGAAGACGAGCTTCTGTATCTAAACTTCCTGTGCAAGTCAATGTCATAAGCAAAGAAAATTTGCCTTGGCTCACTGAACACCTGTTCCAACCTCTTCCCCTTGTTCCACAGTCTTAAAAGGAGGTGAACATACAAAATCTTCCATCCTCCTTTTATGTGTTTGGTTTTGTTAGCATGGGCTAATCTGACCTCCCTGTTTCCCAGCTGCGGCATGTCTCCAGTGAGACTGAACCCAAGTTGCACTGCGACTGCTATTCTTAGCCAAAGAGTCAGGTCATGGGTAAAGTGCGAGTCTGTGTTCCCAGGCAGTGTTACAGAAAGCAAACAGGAGAAAAGAAAAAAACAATAAAAATCCTAGCGCTGGCACCGCACAAGCCAGGCTTGGGAACCTGAAATTACTGCGGGTTCAACCATCACATGGAGCAGGAACTGGCAAAAAGTGTCTTTCTAACACTGCCTCCAGGATGCTTTGAGACTCACAGTTACATATTGCTTTAAGCCTGGGGCAGGGGAAAAAAAAAAAAAGATGAAGCAGAGAAAGCCACTGCCCAGCTGGTTCCACACCAGTGAAGAGAGCTGGTGGAGAGGACTTTGAAATCTTCTCCTCAAAACCAGGAAAAAACCCAACCCTTTATTCTGCAGCCTGAAATAGGCATCTCTTAGCAGATCTGCACTGGGAGGAGTAATCATCCCATGGCTACACTTTACTATGCAATTAGCTACAACAGGGAGGAAGGAAACAGGAGCAAAAGCAAATTCAGAGAATATTATTATTCAGCGTCCAGCCTAGAAAATACACAAAAATATTAGAATGAATTCAGTGGTGATGTCCAGCATCGTTAGCAACCAGATGGACCTGGAATAAAACTGTAATTAGACTTCACCAAGAGGAAGGGGAGGGAGAGAACAGCAGATTAAATTGTAGAGGCAAACACATTTTGAATAAATAAAGGACAGACACAGATCATACAGTGTTGCAAAAAGTGCCTTTGCAGCCTGATGCGACATTGGCAGACAGTACGCTTGCAAGATCAAAGAGAAGGGAGTAGAAGACAACAGACCCAATCCT